AAAGGCTGATCATGTTTTTATTTTAGGTGATTTTGGTTTTTTGTTTGGTTTTTTGGGGTTTTTTGGGGTTTGTTTGTTTGTTTGGGGTTTTTTGCGGGGGGGTTGGGGTTTGTTTGTTTGTTTGTTTTGCGGTTTTTTTGGGTTTTTTTCTTGTCTTCATTACAGTAGTTGAAATGGAATTGCAGAGGTGTTGCTACTCACATTAGGCATGCTGACATGGTAGCATCCCAGAGTCTGCTAGGCACCAGTTCTGTCCAGTTCTGCAGAAAGACTTTTCTCTGGTTCACAGTAATAAATTTAAAATATTTTTGTCTGGCATATAATTTGTATGAAATCAGTGTGAAATCATTAGTTGGTCAAAATGTTCTTCATTGGCTAAATGATGGAAAATATTTATGGTCTCTTTAAATGTGAAAATTATTCTCTCTATATATGGCAGTCATCCAGAAGCATTGTTAAACACTCTTCCTGAGCATAGGAGTATTAAAATTTTCAGGATTTTTGCAGAAGGCTCACAGCTGCCTTCAACAGGTTGTACAGTGATGCAATATTAACGTTGTAGCATTTTTGGATCGCTTTTCGTATTGTCACCAAAATTAAATGTTCTGCCCCTAACCTGTGATAAATCAGTAATTAATGGTACATAACAAACAAGCAGGAACTGAAGCTCAGAAAGATGTTAGCTTCCCCTTAGGCTCACAGAGAGATCACAGAACATGCTGTTCTCTGCAGTAGGGTCCAGTAGTGTCAATTAGTCTTAGACTTTATTGTTTTCAGCTGCACAGGAATTGGAGCTTAGTAAAGGAATTATGTTACTTCAATTTTGCAAACTTCACAAAAGGGGCTGTTTGAAAACCATTACATGGTTATCTTACTGGTTCTGATGGTTGTTTTCATGCACCTGTTGATCATTTAGAAAACCCTGTTCTACTGAAAAGCACAGATTGTACAATGCGAATACATTTCCTTTTCTGTTATTCTGTAGTTCAGTAGGTACAAAGAGATGTTCTAAGCTATAATTCAATTATCAAATGGGGAGTTAATAATTTAACAAATTTCAATCAGATTGCATTCCTTACTACTTAGGATATCATACAAAATCTTGGTTTGTTTAGCTTTCTGGTAATACAGTAAACTTCCCAGATTTGACTAAAAGTGGTAAGTGAAATAGTTGTCACTGTAGGGGCACAATGATGTACATGTTCAGTTTGTAACACCCAAAAAGAGAAAATCTAGCATATGAACTACCGTGTTATTGTCACTGACACGTTGCAACAGGTTTTATCATCATGAGAGAAGATGTATTTCACATAAATGTCCTATGTGTATCTACATATCTAGTTAAATAATTGTTGGGAGGCTTAAAAGTTGTAGCTATTGCACATTTAGCTTCTCTTTATGCATTTTCCATTCAGTGGAATGCACATCTGTCAAAATGTATTTCTTTCCCCCTTAGTTGCAAAAAGCTGGTTGCATTGGGGTATTAGCTGTGTTGATACAGATCTGTAGGGATCATTAGCTTCCTTGTCAGGGCTCCAAGTAATCGGAGACCCAGTCTGATCTCTCCTGTTAGTTGCTCATTGCTACTCCTGTTGGGAAAGGCATTTCAATACATTACTGCAGACGTTTTAATACACTGACCTTCCTTTGCTGTTTTGTTTGGTTGGTCTGTTGTTTAGGTTTTGGGGTTTCTTAAATAGTGTCCTGTATATTATATTCTTTCTCTGAGTTTTGGAACTGGATATTTCCTTCTTTATAATTTACTTGAAGTAGGCATTAGCCTAATGAAAATTGTAAGTCCAGCAAAAACTGTCAGAATATTGATGTATGGGCAACAGGTCATGAGCCAACTGCTTCCAGTCATAATCTTCCCACTGACTGTGCTGAAGCATCAGTTTTATTTTTAGAAGTGCAGCTTAGACAGAAATATCCATGTTCACATGAGCACATGCCATTTAATTAAAAAAATCACAAAATATATTGTTGCATAGAGAAAGGCAAGTGACTTACAGAAGTAGCAAATAAATATTTCTAATCCAAGAATCTATATCCAAGACAAAAATACTTCCAGTGTTCTCTTGTTCCTGAAAATGATGATGCTCTAGAGTAAGCAGTGATAGTAGATAAATTTGAGAGTGTAGTTGATAAGAAAGGAGAAATTTGCCTTGGACTTGAAAGGTGAGATGAGCAGAGATATTCAAAGTCATCAGATACTGAATGCTGATCCAAGGAAAATAGAGCAGGATATTTTGCATCACTTACTATTGCTTAGAATATTGGAAAATTAATGGTACTTCCATGCTCTTTTTCTGCAAACCCTCTAAACTATTAAACATTTTTGGTGGTTTTTCTGTCTCTTTTTCTTTACAGCTCTTTGAACTTCTGTATCTCTCAGAATACTTAAAAAATATATTAATGGAAAGTGATGAGAATGTGAAGGTTATTATTATCTCAACTGTGAAGCAGCAAGAAAATTATAGAATAATCTAGAAGAACTATCCATCATTACATGCAGAAAAAAAGAGGTTAGATTGTGTAATGGGGGAAAAAATCTCATTTAGTCCAAGTTCCTTTCAGAAGTCTTTTGCAAGACATCTTTTAATATGAATCTGAACAAAGTCAGATAGTTTATTTTCCCCTTTTTTTACAGTACTGTATTCATTATAAAGTGATTTCCCATTCCAAATTCAGGCAGCGTGAAAACAGCTAATCAGAGCTACAAAGACAAGATTAATTGGTGTTCATTTCCAAATATTAGTGTTGGAATTTACTTGGCTCAATAGGTCTAGACTTAAAATAATAGGAAATAAGTTACAACAACGGAACTAAATAAAGTAGATCATTCTTATATGGTATAAATGGGGGCAAAATTTATACACCAGTAATTTCTGGAAATTTCTTCATTTTTAAATGCAGAAAATTCTTGATATGGTTTTGTGACTTATTTGTGTTATTTTGAAATCACTAACTTGATCTACTGACATGGGAAAGCAGATCTTGCATCTTTTAAAGCAGACATTTCAAAGCTATCAGCTTGACCAATGTGTGGGCATAGCCTCAAAGTATTTTCCACTGCTTCCATGCCATGTGATGAGTACACCTGAATTCATTGCAGTCCTCAGGCTTTTATCATTCAGAAGCTGGTGTAGATCAATACATAATTCTGCCATAAGAACAGCAGAAAGGGAGGAAAGAAAAATCAAAACAATTGAATGTCAGAGCTGCAATCTTTTTTGTGCCAATAACATTTCATTGGAATAGCACAAAAAGTGGAGAGAGTCTGAACTCAGGCTTGGTACTACTCACAGACACGCTTAGAAATAATGGGAGGTTTAAGAAATCTCATCACCACTACCATCTCCAGGCAGCTTCCTGACCCATTGAATTCAAAAGGTGAAGGAAAAGAGGAGAAAGTAAAGAGAGAACTCAACAAAACAACATGAAGTGCATGTAGAAAGGCAAGGGAAATACAGCAAAGGACCTTGTAAGTGATGTGGAAGGAAAATTGAACTCCAGCAGTTGCATTTACAGTTGCAAGGAAGGTGCCAAATACTACTTGCAGCTGAGAATGGCCTACAGGAATAACTCTGCAATTTGTAGAAACACAGGAATCTGAAATTATCTAATAAATAAAACTATTTCTTCAGGAAAAATATTTATAAATTTCTAACCTCAGCCTACAAGGAGAGGAAAAAATATAGCAACTAATACAACTTTGATGTTTTATTGAAAGATTTACTTAATGAAACTAAAAAATTATTTTGAAATCTCTATTACTTTCTTGATTAAATACTGGAGAAGCAGATGTAGGGTCCTGCTGATGGCAAACAGTGCACAGCTCATAGAGAGAGAGAGAGACTGTGTCTTTAGTAATTGCTGTATGAACCCAAAGTTTGAAGAAGATGGATAAAAAATGTCCGTTACACAGCAACCTGCAGTAATCTGTTGAAGAATTCTCTGTTAAGTAACAGGATGGTGGTGTGATTTCTTCAGAAGAAAGCTCTTCTGCTTTCATTTCTCTAAATATGAGAAAATGAAGGAATTTCAAATGCATTTGACTGAAAATGAATTTGAGGCTCTAAGCAGTCTACTACAGGGTCCACCTGTAGTATTCCATATGTGAAAGGATATGATTTGCCTCAAAGAGGTTTGCTAAACTGAAGTCTGAATTCTGTCCTTGCTTTTAGTCTATACCTGCAGATGAACACTGTGGAGGTTAGATGCATAGACAGTGGACTCAAGTAAAATGAAAGAAGTTGCAGTTAAAACATACTTTGCTCTATGGAGTAAGCATCCATACCATCCTGTTTTAGGGAAGCTGATCACCTGAGCTTTATGCTCTCTGAAATTCTTGTCTTTTTTCTATGAAGCAAATTAAAATCTAATCAAGTAATATCCCAGAAGTTTGATTATTTTGAGGGGTTAAAATAATGTGTCTTCCCATTCTTCTGGCACAAATGTCCTTTAGCACAGTTGATTTATCTTGATTGATTAATTTTAATAGGTTTGATGCTGAAAAACCGAAGTGGCAAAGGTCTTAGGTAGCATCTTAGGTAGCTTTAAGTTAATATGGATATTACACAGCTACCTTGTGACTGGACTGATAACTCCATTGCTGTTATTTTGCAGAGAATGCATTTTTGTTTGATTTGCTTTTTGGTTTTTGGTTTTTTTTTTTCATTTATGAACACTATGTTTAGTTTTTATGCCTTATGAACTGATATCTTGGCATTATAAATACATGCTAAGGATTTTGTGTTCCTCTTTGGTAAATCTGTTTATTGGCTGGGTGGAAGCCAATGTTACATGAGGAAAGTGGGCTTTTGGATTGTGAAAATGACCACTGAGTACTGGGAGTGAAAATCCTTCTCCTAGTAGCTGGACATGGAGTGGTGCATGCCTTTGCAGTCTGTGAAGGCTGTCCTGGTATGTGCCCTATCTGATGGGGACTGGTGTTCCTTGTAACCCCTCTTCCTGCTGTGGTTGTGTCTCCCTGTTAGGCTCAGAGTCTTCCAGCAGTGCTGGCTCCTCAGGATCACTGTCACGAATACATCAGCCTCTCCAAAGTGCATCTCTTGTCCCTGGGGTGACAGCCAATTCTTCAGGCAGCGTGTCCTACCCTGAGAACGGGATGAGTGGCCAGGTGGCCCCCAGCAACACCAGCTATATCATTCTTCCGCTTGAAGCTGCAGGGATACCGCCTGGCAGTATCCTTCTCAACCCACACACAGGTCAGTACAGCTCCCTCCTGCCTGATTCTGCCCTTTGGTGTTTCTGATGTCAGCTGCTGAATCAGCAGATTTCTTGTTTCTAGATGTATTTTTCTGGAGGCACTTTATGAAAATGATTGGCAAATTGTGGTTCCAAATGTGCAGGCAAAGCTAAATTTGATTTCTGAGGCTGTTGTGGCATAGCTGGTGGGAAGTGATACAAAACACTCTTGCTCCATCCCAGGCAGGATATTCATCATTCAGCAGTCCTGATGCTCCCTGGCTGTCAGTGAATCCTCTGAGATCCTGTTAACATCAATAAGGACAGATGCTCTTCTATATCAGGCATGCTGAGATATGATGCAACCAAAATATAACATCACATTCTTAGAGATTGTGCTTAACAGCACAACTTCAAAAGGCTTAAAGGCTGCATTTGAATCTGCACTTCAGGATTAATGTTATGTGAGCTATATGATTAGCAATTGTATTTAAATTGTGAAGTTTGTGATAAGAGAAAGATGTAACTCTTAAATTCCTGATAGTTTTCATCACTGCAGCTCACAAATGAGGCACTTGCAAGTGTCCAAGTGCTGTGGGCACTTCAGAAACTCTTCAGTTTGAACTTGAGTGCTTGGTGAAAACTAAAGGCAATTTGTTACCACCTTGGTCTGGATGAAGTCTGGATCATATTATGGTGTTACTCCCCACCATATTGTACTATCAGTGTTAAGAAGGTTCAGGGAGTTTGAGGGTGTGGTGCTTCTTTGGTAATTTGGACTATTCCAGTGACCACAGCTAGCTGTGCTGTCAACTTTAGCTGCGTTATACTGGGTTTAAAACAAGAAAACCCAGTAGTGAAATTATACTGAGAGCTGAGGGTTAAGCTATACATTTTTTTAAAGTCCTTTAAAGAACATTCAGGAGCTTTTTATTTGGGGATTTTTGTTTATAACTTGTATTTTATGTGTAATGCATCCCTGTGTTCCACTATTTTGGTGGAAATGCTTGAAGCTTATGTGTGCATCCACTACTAAGAATATTTTTTTGTCCATAGTTCAGTCAAGAAAGTTGCAGCATTTAAGAAAAGCCTTGGTAAAATCTTCATCCAATCTTACCACAGATATTTATAGATGGTAATATCTGGGGCTGATCAATATGTATCAGCATATTTAAAATCAAGGAGGAGTTCTTGTTTGCTTAGATTAGAATGTGATGTGTTCGATAAGTTCTGTCCAGAAAGGTGACTTAGTAACTTGCACAATCCTTCACTCTTCTAAAGCCTTTACTCTTTAAGTGTACTTTTTTCCAAGCTATTGCATTATTGAGTTGAGAACCTGATAGTGTCAGCAAGGAAAAGATCCATCATAATATTCATCTGCTCATTTCTATTCTGGTAGATGACAGTTCTGTCTGAAACACTGAAATTTCTTGGTCAGTACAGAAAACAACATTTTGTATTCCACCATATGGTCCCTTTCCATACAAAACTCATCAGGCCTAGGCAGGAGTCAGCCGTAATTCATGTGACAGGACTGAGAAACAAATGAAAGGAAATTATGTTGTGTGGAGCCCACAAACAGCTGAGAGATACTGCTTGTTCCTGGCCAAGATTGTTCCTTGGCTTGTTCCTGGCAAGGACAGAGACTGGAGCTCACCACACTCGAAAGCAAGAAGAGCTGTGCAAAAGGAAGATCTACATCTGTCTTGTCAATTTAGCAAATTGCAGCAGCTAGTTCAGATTTTTGCCTGGTACACAAGGAGTGGGTTGTTTTTTTTCTGCTGTAGGTATAATGCCTTTCAATACCGTCTCTAGACCAGAGCACCTTATCTTCCCTCCCTGTGTGCCTCTGTCTGCAGATGCATCATTGGGAAACCCATGCATGTTTGTACGTTTAACATTCAGGAAGCAAATATTTTTGTGTATATATTATTTTGTGTTTCTTTCTTGTGTTTTGTTTCTGCAGCTCCCATGTAAATATATGCATAATAAAGTAATGGAGAGAGCAGATTTCTTTAAAAACCTGAAGTTCTTGTCTCACACTCCTAGCTTCATGCTGCTACCTCGTGATGGAAGTCAGACTCTACTTTGGCATCTGCTGTGTTTTTCACATGCAGCAAAATACATTCTGCAAAATTGTCACTCTTTGGGCTCAGAATCTTTGCATCTTATTAGGGAAACATTACAAAAGGAGCTCCATGGGGAGGAAATTTAGATTGCTGGATGCTGTGATCAACTATCAAAATGATGGATGCTGTCAGAAACAGAGATGACGAGAAGACAGTTGAAAGAAAAGGAAAAAGGATCTTTGTTTCCTGTAATGAATAGATTTTCTTTTCCTATGCCATACCATTCTTTAGCTCTTTCTTCTCTTGCAGAGTGCTACTTCCAGTCCTTTTCTCTCTTTTGATCATAACACCGTGTCCTTTAAAGATCTTTCCTTCCTTTCACACTACGTAGTCACTGACTGTGAAAGCCTCTAATGGCATCCAGAGATGCTGTCAATTTCCTCCTGCTCTGAGTATAACTCTGCTCCTTACCAGGTGTTGGGAATCCACACTTTCTTTTCCATATCTGCAGTTTCCTTTATTTTCTTTCCTCTGCTTTACCCTTCTACTTCCTCAGATAGTCACACTTCTTAATTGCTTTGGCGAAGAACCATTTATGGGGCTGTGCTCTCCATTTCACTTGCTTCATCAGCCTGCTTTACCCTTTAAAGGATTCTTCTTGACACGTTCTTCCTTAACCCCTCTGAAAAATTAAGAGCATTTACTTTTCATTCGTACTCCTTGAAATGACATTGCAATCTTTGCCTTTCTGTCAGGGCCACAGTTCATAACTTACAAATGTCTTCCCTGTTACCTTCTGATCTCTCCTTTTCATTTCTGATTTCAAGATTTCTCCATGAGAAGTCTTCTCTTTATTTTATCTTTAAAAATGTTGCTGGAACTTTAGACTTTCAGTTCTGCCATCTTTCATTAAGCCACAGGAAGTGCTCTTTCTCTTTATTACCTTTCCTTTAGCATCTGACACAGGCTTTGGGACCATATTATCCTGCTCACTCAGTCTTCTAAAGTACTTGTGGAGCTTGAGATTCCCAAAGCCTGGGAGTCCACGTCATAGTCACCCAGTGGATTCACAGCAAGAATCAGGAAATCAGTACACAGAACTGCCTCATGCTTCTTTTCCACTCACTCATGACCTTTCTTAGCATGAATGTGGTGTTGAGTTCATCCAGAAACTTAATGCTTTAGAGAGAGAGAAGGCAAGGCTCTTTAATCAGTATTCTTCATGCATTTCTGACCATGATTCATTGGAAGGAGAAACTAGAAAGCTGAAGAGTAGCTAGAGCAGATAGAGATCCTTTGTAGGGTACAAATCAGAAGTTCAATATTTCACTGTTACTCTAAGTCACTGAACTCCTCCAGATCTCTCTTTTATCTCAGATATTCATACTTTATTTACCTACTTCAAAGGTTATAGCATCATTGCTAAAATTACTTTTTTTTTCCCTTCTGGGAAGTATTCATAATTCCTTTGATTTACAGATTTATGATGGAAGTTAAAAGATAACTGAGGCCATGGAAAACATTTTTCCTACTGAAAAATACCATTTATTTTTTGTTTTCAAGACAATGACTTGGGTAAATCTTTTTTTTAAAACAAACATTGTTTTTTGCAAGATTATTTCCCCCAGCTTAATTATCTGAAGCAAAATTAGTTCAATAGCTTAATAGAACTCTGAAAAGGTGTCTTGTATATAGGAGATTCTTCAATACATCTTAAATGTTGTTTCCTTGAAAACTGGAGTGCTAGCTCCTCTAAGCATAGAGCACAGCTCTCAAAAGCACAGCTCTGTGTTATGAGAATGTGTAAGTAAATTAGCAACAAGAGTGGGTTTGGTTTTTTCCCCTTTCCTACAAACCGTATTGTTTCAGAAGCAGTTGTGTACATTTGACTGCTGTTGAGTTACAGGAAAATGTAAGGGAACATTCTCTACCTTCAGTGTTTGCTCCAAAGTTCAATTTTAATGTTAATTGATTCATCACTGAATGATTTCAAGTAACCATAGCATCTGAATCATCTTATAGCCATGGTAACTTGCCACCCATTCCTTGGAAAATCATGCTGCTGAAATAAATACCTGCTGTCTTGCCTGAAAAAATAATAAAAGCTCTCTGATACTGTAATTACTGTAATGAGATATTAAGAGTGATGAACGCTTTACTCTTGTAGCAGGTCAGCTAAAGAGCAATCAGTTAAAGCAAAATTGTTTGCTTTCAGAAAACAGAAAACAGTATGTTCTTAAAAGTGTCCAGCAAGAGCCGGGTGTTTTGTTTCAGGTCAACCATTTGTAAATCCTGATGGGACGCCGGCAATATACAATCCTCCCAGTGGCCAGCAGACAATGAGGAGCCAGGTGGTGGGACAGTCTCAACAGCAGCCTTCACCCCAGCAGCCTCAGCAAGTTCAACAGCCACAGCAGCAAATGGCAAGTCACCTTGTCACACAGGTAGGTGTGGTGTCATTGGAAAAAAAGAAGGAGCTCTTGGGGATATGAAGAATGACCTAGAGGAAAGAAGGGAGGAATGCAGCTAGACCAAATGTCAGGATGTTCTTTTCAACATGGATAAAACAGATGGAGAGGGAAGATTACATCTTCAATTTTATCTAAAGGATGATTTCATTTTCAAAAGTACTGTTAAGCATATTGGTGCATGTCTCCATAAAATTAGTTTGAAAAATTCACACATTAGTGGAAGCTGAACCATTCATTCTCAAACCAGCGTAGTCTGTAATTCTCTCCAAAGAGCCAGGGACATTTCTCCTTTGACAGCAGTGGGTTTGAATCAAAGAATAAGGTACAAGAGCTCTACAGACCCTTTCATGTCCAATTGTATGGGGCCCAATCTGTGAGTGCTCTCCAAGCACCTTTGTCCCAGCTTGGTGGTTTTCTGCCTGCACTAACATTCTGGCTGTGATCCTGCTCTGAGCCAGAAGTTCTGGAGCTGCAACAGGAAGAGCAATTTTGTTTGAGCACAGTGCAGTGTTGGCTCTCTGGTCCCTGCGCTGACTGTGGTGGATGGCCAGACATGGCTGAGCATGGGCAGCAGGGTTTGGCTCTGGTTCAAACTTAATTTTGTGGATTGCATGCCTGTTCTCCCAGGGCAGAGCAGGCGGAGGTTCGAAACTACTCAAGCAAGAATCCTATATCCTGCTTAGTCACAGTGCAGCCAAGATCTACTGTGGTTCTTGTGTAGCTTTATAATTTGGCACAGCTTCATCCCAGGTTACACAGAAATTCAGTGTTTGAATTCAATTAAGTTGCTTTGATTTTGCTGGGTTTGGACTTACATGGTTATGGCTCTTTTTTGTTGATCTGGTCTTCACAGTTTTAGAAGACAGAGATAGTACCAAACCTGTAAGAAGTTATATGAAAGGTTAAAATGAAAGGAATACTAAAGCTATTCCAAGGTAATAGTGCTGTGGAAAATTGGTTTTTTTTGCTTAGATAAACATCTGCTCTGAGCTGATGGCCTGTCTGTTGGTAATTCACAGCCTGTTCGTTGTCATTTTTTAAAACTCTTGTGTTCTCCCAAAGCAGCTTTGCAATAATTATTCCTTTGCCTATGACACACTTGGAGTTAAATCAGTCAATAACAGTGAAATTCAAATATACACTTACGTTATGCTGCTTTCTGTTTTTATCTCTGTAAATTAAATGTGGAATCATAATTTGGCTTTACCTCACATTATGAGTAAGAAGGTATATCTCTGGCTATATTTAATCTAACAGCCATCAAATCCACAACAATAGGCAGAAATATCAGTAATAAATAATTGTTTGATATAAGGCTAATATGAAGACTAAAATGACAATACTTGACCTCTTGTACTCAGGCTGGTTGGTGATGAGTCACCTGTATTTTCAGAGCTGTGTTTGAGATCTTTGTTCTCAATAACAAAGGTGGTGGTGATGGTGCTTGTTATGTTTCTCTGGTGGAATTTACTGTCTTTCCCTTTGCTTGTTTTGCAGCCTGTTCAGACAATGCAGCCATCCTCTCAGTCAGTCCAATATCCAGCAGTTTCTTATCCTCCCCAGCATCTCCTGCCGGTCTCTCCAACACAGCAGTTTTCTGTGGTACTAAAGATTTCTTATTTCTTTTTCTTTCCTTGAAGTTGGAGGTGTGAGTATGTGTGTCCAAGAGCCTCTGGGGAGCACTTTAACAGGTGTCCCACATGAGAATTCTGTCTAAATACCTGTTCACCTTTATGCTTTGGTACTGACAGGGATTTTGTATGAGCATTCCCACTGATTCTGGTTATCTAACCTGAAGGGAGATGTTACAGCAGGGCTCTCTACCTGCTTAGTAGACCCTCCAGGAAAATATTTTGTTCTGCCTGCCGGTAGGAGCTTATGTCTCCTCACTTAATGCCAAGTGACCTTAAATTGCTAACTTGAATAGTTGAGATTTGGGTTATTCCTCTTTCATGTCCGCAAAGACAGGAGAAGAAACCTCAACAAATTGTTATTTTTCTTTTATATTTTTTTACCCATATACTAAACCCACTGCCTGGATTTATTCCTTGGTGATATCAGAGGGCTTGGGAAGGAAAGTAGCACTGAAATAGAGAGTAGCACTGAGAGTAACTACTCCCCTTGGGAAGGAGAGTAGCACTGAACCAGCTGCAGCAGGTGTGGTGTGCTGTACATCATGACAATACACCAATGGATGTGTATAATGAAAATAAATAGAGTGTTCTTCTGGAGTCTGATTCTGGCTTGGTGCTTACAGGGCTAAGATTATACTGTTCTGAAATGAAGCTGACATTTTAAAGAGGCACCACGAGTTTTTCACTCTTGGTCTAGTAATCCTAAACAAGATTGATTTTTTTTTTCCCCCCCCAACGTCACATAGTTAGAGTAAGATATGTAAACAAAGCTGAATGGATCCTTGCAGATAAAATAATGTATTAATGACTAGTGATACCATTTAAAGGAAAAGAAATACTCCATGCTAACAAAAGTTGCATATCTTAATGCTAATTATCTTGAAAAGTCTGTTGCAGGAATATCAGGTTGCCCTAGTGACAGTCACAAGAAAGTTAATACTTTTATTGGTTAATTTAATAGTGAAACTTCATCTGAATTACTATCTTCAATACACATTACATTATACAAACACTACACAGATTATATGTGTTTGAAGATATTTTTCTCTTTTGTGAAAATCTAGAGGCATTCCTGGCTCAGTAAAGTTTCTTGTAGAATCCATTTGCAGTAATTTGTCATTCTGATCATGAATATCCTAGCTTTTTAAAGGAGCAGCTTCACAGAGACAACTCTGTGATGTGTCTGAATATGAATGTAGGATGACAGTAGAGTTAACAGCATTACTTCCATAAACCACCTGATGATCTGTCAGTAGTGTTTAAAATGTTGATCTATGACATCTGCTCTCAGTTGTGAGTGTGAGTCTCTCTACGTGAGGGTGAGTCCCAGAAGTGCTTTCCACAAGCAAACGTTTTGTTTTGTTTTGTTTTTAACACATTTTGCCATTTCTGGATATTAAACGCTTGTGCAAGATGGTTTTGGAGAGTACATATCACAAGGCTGCTAACAATATTAAGAGGCTTCTTTTAAAAAAAGAACATTTTTATGGTGCTTATTTCCTATCTGTAATGGCATATTAGCACACAATGGAGTTTAAGTTGAGTAATTAAAGGTCTTATGGGCACAAAAGAAGATGCCTAGAACCACACCCACATTTGTAAATCTTTGACCTTCACGGAATAAACTTGAGAGCATTGAATAGCATTAATCTTTTTGCAAGAATGAACAGATACAGTTCAGAATGCATGTATTATTGCTAGCATGTAATGAAGCTTAGGTCCCTTGACTTTCTATAGTACGTTTATCCTACCACAGATTTATTTTCTTTCCCCCTTCAATCAAATATAGAACTTTTTTCTCTTCAACACAGAATAAAAAGCCTTGAAATAGCAACATTAGGCTTAGCTTTTTTTTTTGTATTTTAACTTTCTCTATGTTTATAACCTTGGATATTCAAAGCAGTCCAAAAAGGGAAAGATCTGCAGCTGAATCCTACTGAATTCCTCTTGGGATCAATTTGAAACAAGGGTGAAATTACCAGCATGAGTTTGGCTGACAAATTCTGTATTTGAGGATAGAGGTATCCATAATTTTAATTTCATGCCCTTTACATTTAAAATGTCTTCTTTTGAACACTGTAAAGTTCACTTGTCATTTTGGAATTAAAGGTGAGGGTGGCAGGGGGAAAGAGCCAAAATAATTGGCTTTTTTGCCAAATGATGCCATTCACCTTGTCGTCCTAAAGTCTTTGTCAAAGCATTTATGGTGATTTTCATTTTAATTGGCTCCATTTTTGTAGACACCCTTGCAGAGTTTGGCATGGATCAGAGCTGAGTGATTCGTTTCCCCCTTATTTTGTTTTGCTAACTCATGCGCCTGCTGCATCTATATCCTCTTCTCCTGCCTTCTGCCCCGCAGCGGGATGACATGACAGCGCAGTTTAACCAGATGAGCTTAAGCCGCCAGTCATCAGGAGACAACCCCGAGTCGCCTTCTGGCCCCGTGTACCCCTCGCCCATCCTGCAGCAGCCTGCCCAGCAGACAGGTTACATCATGGCCTCCCCAAGCCAGCAGCTTCCCCCAGGAGGCTTCACGGGTTCAGGAGCACCGGTGTCCCAGCAGGTGCTGCAGCCGCCGCCCCAGGGCTTCGTGCAACAGCCACCGCCGCCTGCTCAGGTAGGCAAAACCTCTGCTGCCCCTTGGGCATGGTGCCCTTTACAGCATCAGGAAGGGAATAGAAATTCCAGATTATTTTTTATTTTTCCCCGGTAAAAGTTTGGCCGATCTTTAGGCAGCAGGGTACTTGCAATGCCTCTGTTGTTTCCTGGGTTTCATAATTTCCTTCCCTTTCTCCAAAACGTTTTCTGAGCATATGTTCGTACTCCATGACACATCTGCACATGAATATGAAGGAGGAGGGAGAGTAAATGCCCACACTCCTTTTTCCCTGTGCATGTACCAAAAGAGCAAAATGCACATCAGCCCAGGTAGTCGTTAATCATATTTAATTGACTTGAACATGTGAGGTGTCACAGATCAGTAATTTTAACTGTCTTCCTGAAGACTGATTATGTTTTACTGTTCACTACCAAACATCTCTGCTTGTCTCCTGGGTACCTTTACAGAATATTGAAAGTGATTACTGTCAAGAAGTAAAATGCACAGATGACTTTCTGGCCAATTTTCAAGGCATACACATTAAAAAGACAAATTTCTTTATCCAATTATAAATAACTTCATTTATATTCTACTTTAAATTGTATTAATAGTATTTCTTTTGTTTTAAGTTTATCCTTTGGAAGAAAAAATATAAAAATAAAATAAAAACTTTATTATTTCTTTTAAGGTAACTTCACTGTAAACCTTATTGGAAGTGGTTGTTTGGTTGGTCGGTTTTTGTTTACTGCTTCTCACTGAAAATTTCCACTTGTGTTTATTAATGAAATTCAGTACTGACATAGGAATGAAGAATTTTTACTGTTACAGTGTTTTAAGTGGGCTACGGATCTAGTTAATTAGATCACTAATTAAGAGTAAAAGAAATCTAAGGACTACTGGATGCTGACATCCCATAAAGGACTGTGCAATCCATAATTTCTGTGGTTAAAAAATGTGCAGCTATTTTTTCTGAAAGAAGGCTTGGCAAAAACAAGTTTGAAGGAGCTGAAGTTCAATATAATGTGACTTCTTTTACAAAAAATTGAAAATGCTGCTAGAAAAATATTTCACAATTTGCCAAATGTAGCAGATTTGGTGGGTTTTTTAAATTTGGGAGAAAAAAAAAAATTACCTAAAGAGCAAAATTCCCTGATGAATCCATCTTCCATGTAGATTGTGTCTCCTAAGCAGAGGCTGTCCAGGCTTTAGTCCTCATGTACAACCCCCAGGTGCCCTCAGTGTTTTCCAGCATCATTTAATCCAGCCTCACAACACTTCTAGTGAACCAGGTAAATGTGAGCACCTCCGTGTGACAGGCTGCCACCACAGCAGGCACTGATGTTTCCCAGCTCTGCCAGCCAGGCTTTGCTGTGGGAGTTGAGTGGGCTGCAGGATGGTGCTGCCTGTCCTGAAAGGGACCCCACACCAGCTGCTTCCCCCCTCGGGTGAGGCCAGATGTTCAGCTCGCCCTGGGGTCTCTGCTAGACCTGCCTTGGCTTGCCTTGCTTAGGCTGCTTTGGGCAGCTTTGCCCACTGCTCCTGCCCCTGGCTGAGCCTTGCTGTGGGAGCATTGGATTTCACCCCTGTGTGCACAGCAGGGCGCAGGGTTTTCACTCAGCACGGTGCAGTGTTACTTGGTGAAGCTCTTTTCCAAGATAATCCTTGTACAGGTGCTACTGAGAGGCAGATTAATTTTTTCACAGGCCAAGTGATGAGAGGGTGCCTTTTTCATGTACAGGCTGCTGTAGGACCAGTACAGTTCTGGTGTGTCTAATGGTCACTGTCCATTCCTCAACTGCTTTCCTCCTACAGTTTAACACAGTGGAAAGTTATTGACAGCAGAAAAATATATTTTGGCTTTGCAACAACTTCAGTTATTTCACTGTGGAATGGTTTGTCCTCAGGGGGAAGTGTAGAAAGGTGAGAAATTCAGTGCTGTCAACTTCCTCTAGTTCTGCAGATAACATCCATCTCCAGCTTGTTGCTGTTCCAAAAAATCCTTGTCAGATACCTGTGGAGGAGGGCATGGCAGGGTTTGGTGTCTGCTGCCTATTGAAAGCACAGTGGCCTTGTTCTGCCAGAAGGGAGAGAGAGCACTCTCTGCATCTGCAGAGAGTTTTAATACATTAACTTCAGTCCCAGAAAGTGGTTTGGATACTGCATTCAGCACATGTACGGCAAATAGGGGATCCCTCTTATAAAATCTAAGAGTGAATCCCTGGGAAATAGTAGTTCTTCTGCCCTGGGAGCTTAGCTTTCTGTACATGGGCAGGTAGATCCCAAATCCTTGTCCTGCCTGTGGCTCAGCTTCTCTGTGGCAGTGGCTATTGTTAGTCTGAGTGAGCTTTGTTACTCTTTGGGGCTTAGATGCAATAGTAAGGCTGCTTTCAGACACCATAGCAGGTGGTCTGAGGCAGGCTCTGAGAAAAAAAGAAAGCAATAAAGATGGTAATGGAAGCAAAACATTATGTGATGCATTAATCAATGCAATGCAATCAATGTAAAAGCACTTTTATATCTTAAATGTTGCTATTGAATTTATACCAGTATAAAAGTGGCATGACTTTAATGGCTAATTAGTTCCTGTAAATGCACTGCTGATGAGGTTGGCTGTGATACCCTGTATGCTGTTGGAAAATAGCAGTGAAAACTTGGGTGGAGATCCTGTGAGTATGATAATTTTCTTTGGGAACTGAAAGGAGGAGAAAGAAATGCTTCAAGCCTACACACCCAATAATACTGCATTTAAATTACTAGCTTTTCTATTAAAGTTCACTTAAATGTGGCTCTACAGCTGCTCTCCAGGATTTTTTCTCCCGGTCTGTATTAAAGCAGAAGCAGACTGAGTTTGAAATGACGTGCTTAAGAAGTGGTGAAAGAAACCTTTGGGTTCCTTTTTGCTTCTTCTTTCATAACAGGTATCCCCCAGCTTGACAACAAAGTCATCATCTAAGCAACTGAAAATAAGGATTGCTGTTTGTTCAGCCAATTAGAAGGGAAAAAAAACCAAAACAAATCCAAACCCAAAAAAACCCCAAAACCAAAACAAATCCCAAATGTTACCCGGGGTTTTCTGAAAGGAATTTTTAGCAGCAAATGCCTGTTTGCTTTCTATCATGAATATCAAACATATATATTATTGCTCTCTTTATTTTCAATTTTCTTCTCTTTCTGATCGTTTTCTGTAGCACTAATGGACCAAACGCTTTAACAGGGGTCTGCATTCTGCTTTGTAGTACTTTATCAGTACCACTTTATCAATGGCACCTGTCTTTGCCTCTGCAAATGAAAAAGTGAAAAAAATATTCATATTATGTCAATGGGAAGGGATGTCCTCCCTGAAAAATTATTTTCACCCCTGACTCATTCTGGAAGGTATACTGGCAAAATGATATCCAAAAGTGAGATGGCATTAATTCTTGGAGAGGCCTGGAGATGTAATTAACATGTTGAGGGATTTTTCACCTGAATTAGTTTTGTGTCATCATTAATTTTGTGTCATCTTTAATCATCTGTCTCTTTGCAGAAGGCCTCTCCTTGAGAGTCTGTAATGACCCTATGACAAAATCTTTATTCATAGCATATCTCCTCAAGGAAACTTGTTATGAAGAAGGTTGGAGAGTCACTGCAAATGAGCAGGGCTTTCCTTGATGATATTTGAAAATTATAATGGAGGACTTTATTATAATGTAAGATTATAATCTTACAAGACATTATTTTTTGTTACCTGCTACTGTAATTATTATGCAAGGGGCAGGGAGTAAAAGACCTTGCAGAATGGCTGATCCCTGTCAGTTAGATATTGGGAAGAAATGGCACCTTCATGTGTCCATGCATCACTTGTCTTCTTCACTCCCATTTATGTGACTGTATCAGTGGCATTAGCAGTGGTGTCAGCAGCTGGATGGAGGTGCTAGTCCAAACCTGTCTGGATATCAGCATAATATCAGTTTTAAGAGAAGATAGAGCACCAGTCCCATGTCCCGTGGCTGAATCAAGCTGTAAGCCAGCAGGGAGGCAGTTTATGAAAGTAAAATAATCCTGAAGTGTGTGTGGACTCCTGACCCTGCCATGAGGAAATAAACAATATACCAATGAATTTCATGGGTGCTGCTGGAGAGCATCCAGAGAGGCATCCAGCTTCATAGTGGCTCCAGGCTGTATATGGACAGAACAAAGCAGAAAACCAATTATGCACTGAGTCTCTGCACATCATCTAGGGACAAAGCACATTAGATAGAGGAGAAAGTAATGTCTGACTGTGCCATTTCATGAGTGTGTCTGAAGTGACATGCCCAGTCCTGTTACAATTTAAGTTAAAATTGTATAGGAGAGAAAAATTAGAATGCAGTGGAATGGTCAGCCTACAAACAAGGTAATTATTAAAAAACATACTAAAAAGTTCTTTTTTACAGTGTCAAAGATTAAGATCAAAAAACTATCCTTTTAGACTAAAGGAGGTGGCATTTATTTAGGTTATAATCTTAGAAGAACATTTTTTTGGTAAATTTATTTTAGTTTTAGGATAACAATACAGCTTCATTGGCATGATTGTTTGTGCCGTAGAAACCTTCTGATTCTGTAAATGAAATGTTTCACAAGCAAAAGGTTGAAGGTTGGATTGTGCATTTCACATGGGAATGCAACTCAGGTATAATTTGGCATATTGGCTGGCTGCTACAGAAATGTAATGCTTTTTGTTGAAGAGCACATAAGTAAATGTTTTAGTAACACTGATGTGATGAGAAAGTAAAAAATTCAAGAGGATCAGAGCAGAAGATGTAAGTGATACTTGTTATCTCTGATCCCTCTAATTCCACCATTCACAAAGTAGAATCAGAAAGGAAAAAGCATTTCAACTACTGACACAGAGATGTACTCCAGATAAATGAGAATGGATCCTTCCAAGCCCCTCAAGCATAAAAGACCTATTTTAGATCATGTTTATATTTTACACCAAGCCCTTCTTTTAATATGTGAGCTTTTAAAAAACAAACCTGACCCCGCACCAAACGAAAAATGAGCTGACAAAACCAAAAACAACAACAAAACACACACACACATACACAAAACCAAAAGAACAAATCCCATCAAAAGCCAAACCTATTGTTTTGATGTCATGTCTGCATGACTACTGTCTAATTCTTCCATTAATCTTTATAAGTGAAAAAAAAAATTTTTTTTACCCTTCTACTACTAACATTTTTTTCTGCTAGATTGCACTCTAATAAACTTTTAAGTCGGTTCCATAACAAATGTACTCCAGTGAATTGAGAAAATGAAAGCAAGGGAGACAACCCTTTGACTAATGCTGAGGTTTTATGTGTGTGGTGAAAATAAAGGAGTGTATATATTTTTTTGCTCAGCTGATTCAACTATAAACCTGACTTCAAAACTTAGATTTTTCAGGTTATGTTTTAAAGTTAATACCTACAGAATCATTTCCAAAGAGATAATTCTCATTGTTGCCAAATGCTCATGTTGTTTTAAATATCTAGGGGCTTCTCTGCACTGGAAAATGAGGAAGTTGAGGGTACATAAAATAAATCCTTTAAGTGAGATTAAGCTGCTGGCAGGATAAGTGAGAGTATTTCCACAGGAGGTTAATATTCTTTAGTTTGTAGAATATGTTAATAGAAAATAAAGAATATTTGAAAGAATGTCTGTTCCATTTCCCTGCTCCAAGCCTGAATCAAATATTTGCATTGACTTGACTTAGAGTGGGTCTCCTCATTTCTTTCAGGCCTGCTGTAGCAGAGTGTTCCTGAAAACAATCAACTGTCCACGAGATCAGTTTATCAAACTAAACTTTCCTGAGCCACAGTTTAAACTGCTTAAAGAATGATTTTGGACCTTAAATGTGGGCCTACTTTCCTATTCCTTGTGGCTTTTCTTTGCAGAGAAACAAATTCATAATGGTGGTGTCCACTCTACAAAGCCATTTTGGTTTTGTTACATTAGTAACTAACAAAGCAAATGGCCCGAGGGCAGGCAGTAGCCATGAGGTTTCATTTGGTATTGTCTGGAGGGAGGGTAGCTTACAACATTTTCCAGTCAAAACCTTGTTTTTCTCATACTTGTTTGACTCAGGCTGATATAAACAGAGAGAGGGAGGAAAAATCAATTGTTTGAAAAGAAAATTAATAGACCTTGAAGAATGGATGGGTGTTCAGCCTCTTGATTGACAGATACTGTTGACTGTCAGTTGGTCTGCGGGGTTAACTTCACTGACACCACCCAGTCCAGCTTCGTTAATCCTAATTCTTCTCCCACCACAGTTACCCATTCAGTAGGCTTCTACTTGCCTGAGTAGCAATCCATAGCCTATTCTTGTCTAGTCTTTTTTGTCTATGCCATTTTTTTTCCTCATCTGAGACTGGAAATTTTCCAAGGAAAATTTCTGATCTCTCTTATGATGTCCTAGCAGTAGTTACCTTTACTCTGCTAACTTTATGGATGATCAAATTGAATTATCTGTTTCAGGAATATTTCTTCCATGCAATTAATGTGATAAAAATAGTTCTTGTTTTTGCATGAAAAAAATAAAAGCATTTGGTCTGACTCTGTGCATATGTCTATATAGGATAAATGCTATGCACTAAGTGAGAAAAAAATTCTATGATTTATTAAGAAATACTGACTACTGTGGTAGACGTTGAGAGAAAAGCAGTGTTCTCCTAAGCCTGTGTCCCTTTGTAGTCCGTTCATACCATACATTGCCAAACTCTACCACATGCCTACAGTATCTCTGACAGCTGAAAATGAAAAATTTTGAGTGCTTTGAACTTGTGAAGGGTCAGTTGAAAGCTGTTTAGCTCAAATGTCTCAGTAACAATGGTGTGGCATGTATAGGAAAAATCTTTTGCTCCAGTCACCCTCAAACTTTCACATTCACCTGTGTGAAAATGACATGTAGTACACTTTGCTATTCCTTGCTTTGACTGGACCATTTTCTTCAAAGTTCCATTAATGGTTCAATATACTGTCTGTATGTGTTATGTTGATACAGAAGGTGTTGTTTGCATCTATTTTTCTGCAGCTTTTGATATGTTACTGTGATTTTTTTTCTTTGGTATATACATGTAGTTTTTTATGAATCCTATATTTTTTTCTCTTTCAGTTAAATTTTTTTTCCTATTTCTTAAAATATCTGAAAATAAATGTGGGCAGTGATAGTCCTTTTCCTAGCACAGCTGAAAACAAGCAGCAGTTGTTGAAGAGACAGGAGGCAAACCTCTTCTCTTGATTGCCATTACCAAGCATATTATCATATGCTTGATTTGAACTTCTGCTCCCCCTCCCTGTTTTGTTCTATTTTATGAATCTTTGATCTCTAGAGTTTACTGTTCCCTTTCTTTGCAGATGCCAGTGTATTATTACCCATCTGGTCAGTACTCTACCTCAACAACTCAGCAGTACAGACCCATTGCCTCAGTTCAGTACAACGCACAGCGGAGTCAACAGATCCCCCAGACTGCCCAGCAAGCAGGTATGTACATCTGGTACTCATTTCTTCAGCTCCTCACAGTGCCTTTGCAGGTGAGACCTGTTGGTTGTGCTCTAACTGAACAGCAGAGGAGAAAGCTGGTTGCTGTTCTGTTTGAAAATACAATGAAAATTACAAATTGAGAAACCTTTTGCTTGGACATCCCGAGCGATGGAAGAACAGGGGTTGCATCCTCCATCCCTACTGTTCTGCATGCAGTGCTGTTGTGTCCTCAGTGTCCATGCTCCAAGTGGCTGGGCACAGAGAGAGCTGGGGGGGAGCTGCTGTGAGCAGTCACACTGCACGTTCAAGCCAACCACTGTGGTTGCCCTCCGTCGTGGGAACTCCTCCAGTGTTTGCACCGCCCTGCATGGTGGACAGGCCTTCTGTGATGCTGAAGGTTGTTCTCCACCACCTTGTGCTGTCCCTGGCCCTGAGGAGCAGCAGGGCTGTGTGTGGATGGTGTCCATCAGGACAGGCTGCCCGCAGTGCCGTGCGGCTGGAAGGGGGGCCGTTACACTGTAAGAGAGTGAGTAGCAGGTCTCACAGTGAACCGGTCTCTTTTCCTGCTGTGTCATGCCACTCCGGATGACTCCAGAGTAAGAGGGACAGAGGGGGAGCTGGGCTGGTGTGGTCTGGGAGAGAGCAGGAATTGTGGTTGTCAAGGAGTTGTCGCAATTCAAGGGAATAAACAATTCTGGTGTTTGAGATTTATTTATTTATTTATTTCCTATCTGTTTCTTCAGTGCACACCTTCCCTCATTGCATGTCTCAAACAGTAACTCCAGGCGTAGGAGGAGGAGGTGGAGGGGTGGGTTTTGTTTTTCCAGATGTGCCGGGTAGAACAAAGCATTCATCATTCGATCTCAGTTTGGCAGAAACCCTTTAGAATGGCAAAGCAGATTCCCTGCAATAGCCTTGATATGGAAGTCATTTAAGATGCAAGTCAAGAGCCCAGACATGAGATGCGAACAAGACTTATGGGGTCATCCAGCTTGTCAACCTATCTCTGTAATGTGACTGCTGGCAATTTTGTTCCACTCTCTTAGGCGCTTAGGGAGACAAAGACACAGAAAACACAGCTATAACTAAGCAATTCATTACTTTTTTTTTTTTTTTATGCTGTTCTGTGTTCTAATAAAATTGGTGGCATTTTGGTCAGTGTCAGTGGTGACTGACTGTGTCTGCTTTCATACCTTCATTTTATACATTCCTGAGAGAGACGAGGGTGAAGTATTGCACAAAGGTCATCTGTCTCTTCTAGCTTCTCCTGCCTGACAGTCTGGTACCATATTTATTATCTCTATATAGTGGATCCTTGAAACAAAGTGCAAATCAACTTAGATGGCATTATCTGCATCTACTGTGTTGTTATAAAACCATATTTATCAGTTTAATGCTACATCTATAACCTAGTGGAGATTATGGTAAGTGATGTGCACAAGAGATGGTCTGATGTGTGAGTGATGTTCCGGAGAAGATCCAGCTGTGTGAAAATCCTAGTTTTAAAGATATATTGTAGCGCAGGAGCTGTTGAGTTCAGACAATGCAGAGATGCAAATGCTAATTTTGTTTCAGTGTTTACTGCATAGTTTTCCTTACGTGTTTGGAAAACACGAGTCAAGGAGTTTGTGTAAAATCTCTAGCACATCAGTCTTTTCCCTGCAATTCACTCTTTCAGCTGCCTGCTCAGTTGGAAGCATTATTTTTATCTCTTGTTTAAAAATGAAAACATTGTGTCTACAGTTTACACTCCCTGCTGTGGTGATGATTTAAGTGTTTAGCTATTCTCAGATCTTGAGACATGTCTGAGAACAATTTTGCAAGCTAGTTCATGCCTTTGGCCTCTGATACATCCTTTTTCCTAGTCATGGTCCCAGCGTGTGGTAAGTGTGACAGGAAGCCGATTGCAGTTCCCTACAGATCTTGTTTTGGAGGTGGTGTAAGAATTGTTCAGATTTACATTCCACTGCATCTCTTGGTATTTGGGAAACAAATAGCTGTGTATGACCAGAAAGTAGCAATCTGCAAGCAAGTGTTTCAGACTTCCATTTTCTTTCCCTCACAGACTTAGCTTCAGATCAGCACATGACGAGCCAGGGATAACAAGGGGCCGGAACAAGAAGCTATCATGGAAAATAGTGTTTGTGAAACAGTGTAGTATGGGAACACTGAGGATGGGAAGGGTGAACAGATGGGAAGGAGGCAGATGAAAAGATGATTTCTGAAATGGTTTCCCCAAAGACCTCACATCACTTGCTGCTGCTTTGGAGAGAGGATGGCTGCGGTGCAGGCAGGCCCACGGGAGCCCAGCTGGCAGCCTGGACCTGCTGCTGGCTCCTACGGCAGGGCGAGCAAGGAGGCAACCTCAGCCTGGCAGCTCAGGAAATATTTTATTAAAATTAAAAGTTTGCCTGCCTGGAGGAGCTTTTGGAAGCTTTCAAAGCAACAAGAAAGAGTTCAGATCTTACTTCCCCTACTTTGGGATGCAGAGGTCAAAGTTTCATCTAATATTAGTAATTTGTTTTCATTTTTGTAAGAAAAGGTCTCTTCAGGATGAAGCGATATTGATGACTTTTACAGCAAACAGCTAAAGTAAAATGTCTGCACAGCATCTGTGGTGGCTGAGGGAGCCTGTACTCTCTCGTGGATCTGGAAGGAGAGCAATATTGAGTTAAAGTGGCTCCAGGGCAGAAGAAAGGATGAGCTCACCTAAAATTAGATTAGAGCTCTGGCAGCAATAAATCATTTGGAGAGAAGGCTGAAAACATTTTATGTGTTTATTTGCCCCTTTTTTTTTATTTGCCTAAGTGCTTATGTGAGAACCTAAGTGGCCTATTTCTGCCTAAGTGGCAGAAGCCTAGTACAGTGTCCCCCATGAAGATTTTTGTACAAATGTCTGCCATTTGAATTATGTTCATTTCCATTCAAGCCAAAATGTGGTATCACTGTAAACAGAAATACCGTTTTATCATTCATGCCATTGTTGCTCTTCTTCATTATGCTTTTTCTGCACCATTTTTGTGTTTAGAGCTGCTCAGTGCAAAATTTTTCAAAGTGTTGCCATTGTGTGGGGCCAGGGTTGAGCTGGTGTCTGTCACACCACAGCGTACGTACGACATCATAGGTGGAGTCTTATGGAGTGTTCAGGCAGGTATTCTCAAAAACAGTATGCTCATTTTTCAAACCATTTGGGTATGCTGCTGTTTCCATTTCTGCACTCTGTAACAGGTGATACTGTGCAGTGCCCAGTTTTGTAAGCACATGGAAGAAAATATTGTTTCTGTATTTGCATCTAGCAGTACTCTGTAAATTGCATGTCTGGCATCATCAGTATTTCATTCTTCAGTAATTATCTCTATTTTGATAGACTGATCCTAGTTACTGTCTGAGTAGAAAAATAGAGATGTATTGATGATAAATCAGTAATTATTTCTATTTTGTCATGACAGAAGAAGTCAGCAATGTTTTATTTTATATCTGTGTCTCTATTTTCTCCCATTTTAGCAAATGCTGAGCACTTTGAGGATTTTTCTGAAGTGCTTCATAAGTATGAGCTGGATAAATACATGAGTATTATCTTTGGATATGCAACTCTTCTTATTTCTGTTCACAAATGAGCAAGCAGCAACAAATTACATGATTTTTTTTCATTATCTAGTTCATTGTTGTATGTTTGCCTCATGTTCCAGATAATTTCAGAGTGAAGGAGAAATTTTATGGATAAAATAATATTTATCTTCTTGCTTGGGCCTAGTTCTAAGAGGCTGTTAGCTTGATTTATCACGCAGTTGTAAGGTAAATGTCTGTGGAGTGTGTTTTGCATCAGCAATGAAATAATTTTTTGCGGAGATTAAAGCTCAGATCTATAGTACTTTGATAGTAAGTTTTCCTGCCAAAACTTTATACTATAATGTTTCAGACAAAAGAAGATGTTATTTGACATAATTTGTTGTTCTGTAATTCTGGCAATTAATGTAATGATGTTAGGATTTCTCATACATTCAAGAATCAACAAATAATGCCATTAAAACTTGTTTCAGGGCCCAGATATCAGGAGAAGACTCAGAGAGCATAGGAAATCTCTCTTTTTTTTTTTTTTCCCTAAAAGCAACAGATTTGCTTGTAAACAAAGATGGTCCTTATGTGAGGAAAGTATATATCTGAACATTGTGTGGATGTACAGTCCTTTCTTAACCAGTGTTCATGGATCTTCTGTAAACAGCAAGTGTTTGTCTTGAAGAAAAGGTTCCTGATGGAGAGGAGTATTATAAGTCTTTACAGCTTCCAGTAAAGTAGAAGAGGTAATTGTCTCTTAAATGCATCTCTGAAACAAATTTTAAGTGAAAACAAAGTGTACCTTAACAGAGTCCATAAATTTGTTTAGGAATCTAAGTCAAATAGACAATGAAATACTAAATTTTTGCTTAATTTAATCATTTCAGTGTCAGCATAATTGAAGAGTGTTAACTTCAAGCCTCTTTTATCCTCTTTGTCTTCTGAAAGCGTTTGTCACTATAAGCTGATACTTAGTGGAAAAAAATGGGGGAAGGGAAATGTGCAGCACTAAAAACAAAATTGGTTTGTTATCATGGTCATTAGAGAACCTTATAAAGAAAGATTGCTGCTTTCTACCTTCATTAGCAACCTGACAGGAGCTCATGGTCCATGATGGATTTGTTTGCATAATTCCGTCTATAATTTCACTGCTTATATAAACATAAACAACTTCAATTTTTAAGTATCTAATTATCTGAAGAAACTGTTTCTCTAACAGTAATTGCTCACTGCGTTATTGAAACAGATTTGTATGGAAGGTGTCCATCTGTGTTCAGTGCTATTCTTTTCAGCAGATTCTTCTGCTCCTAAAATGTATTACAAGGGGGGTGAATTTCATTTTCTCAGAGGCTTGACAGGAATAGGAGGGACAGAGCCCTACTGTCCTAGATACTCAAGTGTAGTGCTATGCTCATTAATGTTGATGAAAGGCTTTGAAATTTATA